TTTGTGACCAAAAAATGCCCTTTCTTGAGGATTTGATACGCTGACCTTTTTCCAAGTGATATTAATGACTACAAGGTACGACGGTGGCCTTGAAGTTATTATCTCTGTGTACTATTGGGTATTCTTGTTTATCTCATTACCTGTCAACGTGCTGCTGCTTTATCTTGTAATAAGAAAAAGTCCACCAACATTTTGCCATTTCAAAATCCTTCTTATTAACATGGCATGTAACCAAATATGTGTGACAGCGATGGCATTTTTTAATCAAGAAAGGTAATTTTTTATTTCACGCCAAGCCCTACGAGCAACCAGCAGAGAGGCGTAAGTCTTTTGATGGCCGATAAAGAGGACAAAGTGAAGTCTTTGGGAGTTGGCCAATCCCGTCTGAGGGATGCGCCCCGCATTAGACATTCATTCAGAATCGTAATGGCGTTTGTGTGGCCTATACAATAACTTGCGGTGGCCAGCCGATATTCGAATCAGTGCTTGTATCCTTTCAGACGAGTCTGGTAGCAATTAAGGGGCACCGGAGAGATGTAAGGCTTAGTTGGCCTAGGCGGATATTCATCCGCGGTTCGAGCCCGTGACTATGCGTGTGTGATAGTGCGCCAGTTGCCAGTGCACCACATCAGCCTTTCATGTCAGTTAATAATGCATTAATTGCATACTACTGTACTATGTTCAAGTAACCAAATTCGACCTGAACCAGACTGCGCCACGTATCCCGAAAAGGGGAGCTATCCCTGCGCTTTTGGAGGTCTTCATCTGGTGCGCTAACATAATGCATGGCTGCGCTCCCGTACACCAACCACGTGAGTTGCTTGTTATTATTGAGGACTCAGGAAATCGGCTAGTGATGAACATGAGAGCAAAAATGGGTAACAAAGCCAATTTTCCATCGAGGCCCCGATGTGTGTATGGGAGCCTGACTGACACTTATTCAGTGAAATTGAACAGGTTAAATTATAGTTATGTAATCGGAAGTTAAAGCTCATTTATTCGTTGGAATATACCGTGAATTGATATTCAGGCCTCACAATAGCGGTTACGCTTTATCAACTCCAAGCTAGAACAAATCAACAGAAGTCTTTACATTCCATTGCCAATCCGGGAACGAACATGCTTTTAAAAGTAAAAGTACATGTGTCGTTAGAACTGCCGAGGTGGTGACAAGGCAAGCGACGCTCTACCATACACGTATAGAATGAGCATTCGCCTAGGCCTATCAAGCCATCCCTCCAGGGTCGTTTAATTGGTACCGGTCTCGTCTGATAGGATAAGAGCATTGACTTGTGCATCGGCTGGCCATTGCAAGTCGTTGTATAGGCCATATACGCATTCATTACGTCACTACGATTCTGAATAGAAGTCGAATGCGAGTCAAATGCGCTCAGACGGGCTCGACCAACTCTCAAGGACATTATTCTTTTTATGCCGTTTAACCCATTGACGACCATCACATTTGGCGGGAAACACGAAAAGCAGTCCACATGTGGACTGCATGGTCCCGAACGATCAATTTTTTGAATTTTGAATTAAGAGTTGTTAAAATTTTTTCTGAATTCGCAAATTTAGGATATAACTAACGATGATGGTTGGTGGGACTTGAATTTTAGTCAGCTACTGATAGATTCTGTTGAGGAGCAGCTGCTCCAGTTCCTCAATCACTAATTTTTTCAGAAAAAGAAATTACAAAAGGGTTACATGTTTCTTCANGGATGACATTTCAGCTGTTGCAATTGCGTAAAGAGATGACAACATTAAGCCAAAATGTCCAGAACTGCTTTCCATCCATCACGAATAGCTGATTTCCCNTAGTGCGAAAGGAGATATACTCCGGAAACCAAAAGCTAAATTGTAAGTATGATGCCTATGGTCATTGTTATTATCTGTAAAATTGCAAAAGTAGAAGATTTCTTGGGACCACACAGTATATAGTTTAACTTAGACCTGATCTTATGTTTTGACAAGAAAGATCGTTAAAATGTGGCGATATAGATAAATAAAATAAAATATACAACTGCAGTCCACATGTGGACTGCATGGTCGTCAATGGGTTAACGGGCTAGAGCGGAACTCTTCTTTTCTCTGGGTACCGTCTTTTACAGACCAAAAAGTGAAACTCACGAATGTATGTAAATTATATGAATCGGTTCCAACAAAATCTCGAATTCATATTTTCTGCATGATTTCAATTATTTGTACCGTACCTCAAGCAACGAGGCTGTTCAGTATAACGGCTCCTCACTTTTCACTCTTTTGACTTGTTTTGTGCAGCTAAGAAAGGGCGGGGGCGGACGAACTGGGAGGAACTCTGTAGAAGAGCAAAGAGTTAAATTTTAAAAATAAGCTCGATTCCGTGTAATCCTATGTTTTCAATTTTCAGGATTATAGCAACCAAGGATGTAATGGCCCTACTACCAATTGGGCCTTGTAGGGCTTTTGGCCCTGTCGCTGCTGTTGTGTCCTACACAATCTACAATGCATTCTTGGTGAACATAGGCTTTACTGTTGGAGCTGCCATGTATTTCCGTTATTCCGTGATTAATATGATGAGTACAACTCGTACCAAAGTGATTTTAAGTATTCTACTTTCCTATGTAATACCAGTAAGCATGGTAAGTGACTTCAGAAGAATATCTTCCCTTGAGTATACTAATGCACTATGTAACACGATATTGCACTCAGAAAAGTGATCTTTTCTGACACCTTGCTTATAATGTCTTCTTCAAAAAGGAAAAATTCTGGAAAATTTGAGAAAAGGAGAAATTGAGAATCAGAAGGAACTCAAATCGGGATAAATCAAGTGTCCCCCCGTGTCGGCACGACGAAAATTGATCACTACGTACGCTCGACGGGGTCCATCAGCCTTTGTGGTCCGTACATACAGTAGTCTCCATAGACGGCTCCTCTGTCCGGGTTTTCTTTCTCTCTGATTCTTAGTTTTAAGCCATTAGCTTCTTCTACGATCTTGCATGAGACCTCCTTTTCAAGAGCCAATTAGGCCGACTGCTTGACGATATAAGCAGATGGACGACCTGCTCGAAAACGCTGGTCCCTTAATGGTTGGCAGCTTACAGTACTCCCCTCTTACTCTGCTCACTCTCCAACACGAACCACACGTTCAGCCTACCTCTATAACCAATATTGAGGCGAATCGCGTCTTGCAGTCTCCTTATTTCTACACCCTTTCAGTCATAGACGTGTCTGATAGGTTTGAGGGCTACAGGATGGAACTTTGGTTTTTAGTCCAATCTGGTTTTTTCAGATCACCCCAACTGTCTCAAAAAAGGAATATACCTATGTAATGACGGTAATAGTGGCAGAATATCCTGAAACTGCTGATTATGGCCCATTCGGTGGTACCGTCACTAATCTTCTTACTTACAAGAAGAACACATTAATACTCATCTTGGGTATCGTTCTTTTACCGGCGCTCATATTTTATTGGCGTTGTCTTATCATCAGGCGCCTCGATAAACTGAAAAAGAGTCTATCGGAGAAAACTTTATTATCTACGAGGGTACTTGTTCAGGTAAGCAGAACTTACTTCTTTCTTCGTCCTTTCTTGTTGGGTATGGTCCAAAGCTCGTATGGACGACTTTATGTTGGACAATAAGTTTGCTCAGAAAAAGCCAACATTCTCCTTTTAGGGCAACGATCAAATAAGCTATGCTTATACCAATCGCATCGGCTTGCTTACGTCGGGATCCCCTCATTTCTGAGATTACGGTATGCCCGACTAACCCAAAAAATCGGACAGTAACCGCCTTTGTAGTAACTGACTCGAAGAACATCAGCCGAAGCTTCCCGAGTCGTCCACCCTCCCACTCCCTTGCCATCCTTTGGCGAAGATTGGCACAATGGGATTGCTCCCCGTGGTATGATACTCCTAGCGTCATCTTTCTCATCCCTGGCATTTGGGCGACCCTATGGAGCTCTGGGTGAATGAATAGGAAAAAAAAATTAGGATTTCCTAAGGGCAGAAACATCGTTGGGTACGGAACACATTCAAGTTTCTCGTTTTTCAGACTCTTCTATTACAAGGCTTACTTCCATGTTTGTTCTACATTCCCTGTATGATGTTTTATCTTGTATCACAACGAATCAGACTGGATATCAAAGTCTTAGGATATCTTATCATGATCCTTCCATCTCTGCCGGCTTTTCTGAACAGCTTACTCGCTATATACTCTATTGCACCCTACCGGATGTTTATAGTGAATGTTCTATTGTGCGGAAAAGCTGTAAAAACCCTACATATCAAATCGAAGATTTCACGAGTAACAGTGTTTTGATTTCTGTAGGACATTAGAATAAATCAATTCAGCAAAGGTAACGAGATGTTATTTTGTCTGAAGATTACGCTGGACCCTTCAGTAGCCATGTAGAATCGAAAGTGGGAATCTCTAGTATACGGTCCCTATCACAGCATCTGTCCTTGTCCCTCTGCGGTCCCCTGTCTGAGCTTGTTGCTTATTCTGCTTATTAATGCCTGCAACCTCCTCGTTCTCCAGGCGGTCTCAATTCCTCTAACTTACTCTACGGATTCTGCTCGTACCTACTTCTAGGTGCTACACCAACACCATAAGCAGGTAACTAGGGTGGGCCTTGTCGAAAGGGGTAAAGTAGAAGCCATCAATGAAGTTCCGTGCTGTGCTGCAATCCTCAACCCGCGATTTCTGTCTGGTCTTCGAAGACATTCTATTTCAGTCTTAAAACCGGACAAAGCCCCAACTTCCCTTGTACTCCCTCCTGTAGAACCCGCCGGTAAAATCGACCGTAATCTAGCCCATTGCTTTACTTCATGTCAGGTGCAATGTTTTTGTATACGGTAATCGTTGAAACTGATTTTTATTAAGAATTACGTGCAGTATCTAACGTGGAAGAGATCACACTGCTTGCTTAGGTCAGTTATATTTTTAACAATCAAGTACTTACAATAAGTAGATCAATTTGTTGTGATTTCAGAATTTTTTTGATAACACCTGAAGTACCACTCAATCTGGATCATCTACATATCTATCTAGATAGATCGATCCCAGACTTACAACTCTGGGCATGAATATGGGCAACACATCCAGTTCGATCGCTTTATTCCTCCCGTCTAACCGATGTGGGCATGAATGCTCGATTCGCAGGTAAGCGTCCGGAGTGTTGATTGGGCCGAAGTCGGATCCGCAGCCAGATACTGTAACAAGACATCATTACACAAAATAGCTGGTATATAGAAATTTGTGTCGATGAAACCCATAGTGGATGAAGATGGTCAGCAGCATTCACTTTCCTTCCTTTAATCGCTGCTTCCACCTTTTTGTCCACTTCAAAAATTTGTTCTGTCTATAACATCAGCAATACTAACCAGTAAATGAGCCATTATAGATTGACCACGTTCTTCCCATGAGATCATCGTCTTCGAATGGAAGAGCTGGAAGATTAAGCTGTACATGGAAGACAGAAAAGATTCAGTTTGTTGCTCGTCTTGTAAATTCGTTGAATTTTGATAGTATAAAAATAAATTTTGAAAAGAGCGGTCGTGATGTTGGATTCTCTCCTGTCCAATGCTGAGCGCGTACATCGCGCTATCGTGGTTGTTTTCTACTTTCTTACAGTCTATCGGGTTCAAAAATAAGTATGATATCATATTGTTCGTGCCAAGTTAGTTGACAAGGATTGCAGACCACAAGGGGCGGGGTTTGCAGTAGTGGGTGGGTTTTTTTATTTTCTAGGGTAATTTAAACTACTGCTGCTGAACCTAAGGACTGATTCCTTATGACAGACAATAAAAGCGTCCGTTTTTGATTAATTACAATGCAATCGAAGAAGCTTTCGGTTATGGTCAATACCGTGTTTTCAAAAATGTATTATTTTGAGTAGCGAAAGTAAGTGAAAGCTAAATGCTGTGGGTAGCTAAAGGCAGATCTAGGAAGGAGTGGTATGTGCACGAACTTGCTTCCGAGGATGCGCGCGGCAAATTGCGTGGCGAAGTTCGTAATGGTTTGAACGAGTTCGGCGCCTGTCATTGGGGCCCAATTTTCAGAAAGAGTGGATTAGGGGGATCATCCGACCCTACTAAACTACACTACTTCGAGTTTGTGCCCCGAAAATTGGCGCCGCAGGCGCCAATTTTTGGGGCACAAACTCGAAGTAGTGTAGTTCATCATCACGTACAAATCATCACAAACTTTGCCGCGCAATTCGCCGCGCGTACTCTCGGACGCACGTTCGTACCGTCCCCCAGGAAGGAGTCATTCCAAGGGGTAAGGGAGGATCCTAGCTGGTACATCGGTTTACAAGCATGAAAAGTACACTTACGATCGTCATCCAAGAGGTCGATTTTGACGCCAACAGCTTTTCGTAGATTGGTTGGACATTTTAGTTGTCCGGTGACAAGAAAACATTCTGAACGGCTCCGAACGGTAAGGAAAAGCTCGAGCAGAATAAGCAACATCATCAAGAACGAAGGCGGCATGACAGCAGTGATTGCCGAGCAGTGAAGATTCCTGTAGAGGTCGACATCGACTTGTTTGCTCTCATGATAACAACATGTACTTGGCGCAATCAGGTGGTCATCGAGTCTGTTCGAGAAAAACCAATTGGGAACTCCATACTGTAGAGGTAGAACCTTACTGAGGAATCACAACCCAAGTATAAAATTGAAAAGCTTCATTGCTATTCCTAACAATTCATTAGATGTGCGAAGCGAGACGCTAGTATGTCCTAGAGGGTCATTCGAACCCCCAACGGTTTAAAAAACAATAGGCGTCACGGTTGGGATAGAATAGGTATCAGCTCTGATACCGTTCCTCTTCCTGCTCAAAGTAAATACCATTCCAAAGAGACCCTTGGATGGACAACTTTTGTGGAGACAGATTTATATTGTAAGCAGGGAGAGGAAGGGCTCACAGCTGATCACTCTTCTAACCCGACAGTGACGCACACGGACGAACGTTCATATAGGATCTATGTTTCAAAAAAGGAGGGAAGAAATTCCTGAATGTGTGGTCATCAGGTCATATACGCGTGCGGTTGCGATGCGCTCATCAAGAAGATTACGCTAGGATTTTCAACGAACTAAAAACGAAGATTGAATTTAATCGATGCTTCGTTTACATGTATGGAACGCGTATCACGTGGAGAATCGTCATAGTTTACGCCACCGCTGTAATCGCAATCAACTATTTCGAACACGGCGAGTGAAGTTTTTCAGCTCACAGAGTTAGCTTAATGGTCTGGATCACTGGGCACGTGAAGTAACCCCGTCTATCGATGTTCGTTTCTTTGGACAGGGTGGGTCGCTGTAAGCTTCTGAAAGCAGCGCTCGAGTATGAACGAAACGCTATAAGGCTACCAATAGCGATCACTGAAAATCAAATATATTCAGGTACAAGACCTATTTGTGGTTTGTACTATCCACCAATGAAGGTTCAAAGGTGAATAAGAAAGAGCTACTTCATAACCAGAGCTGAAAGGTTCTGACTTGCATTCGGGAGGCTACCCTTCGAATGAGAAACAACTAAATTAAAGGTGCTCAACCATCGACCTGCTCAGAGACAGTTCTTAGCCAGAGAAATATAGTTCCACCTGAGCCTTGCAAGGCAAGGAGCATCAGGGTAGGCTAAATTATTACCTCGTGCAAAAATGTGTGATGGAGTAAGAGTTGAACATCCATCGACTCACCCATTCTGCTGCTCCTCTCCTCCTGATGCTTCAGTTCAAAAAAAAAATTATTTTTTCGTCTAAGAAACATTCTAAAGCACCACCATAGGCACGGAAAATCGGCTACTCCTCTCTCCCTGCACTCTAGCTCTTGATTTTTGAGGAGAAGCGGTGCTCCTCTCCCTCTTCCAAACTTCATTTTCAGCGCAGTACCTATTGCCCCGGAAGCGGTAGTACTGTGAAGCAAGGAGGGCAATTAGAATTCTAATAATCGTGGCTGTTCCCGTGCTCAATGAAGCCCAATAAAACTGGGAAAGCTACCCGCTTGGCTAACGGGCTAGCCGTAAAATACTGCGTCTCGTCTGCATTATGATGCCTTATCCCAAATATGTCGGCTACGGGTTGTAACTAGAAGTGAACTCTTACCGAATTCCTTATTGAATGCTACTTGTTCCACCTGCATAATTGTTATCTTCTACTGTTAATTTGTATCGTCTATTTCTATTCAAGTTCGAGGCCGGGCTCGAAAACCTCCCTCGTTAACGTCTTCCCTTCCAATTTTACCTTAATTGATACTGTTCATTTCACTTTTGCAATGAAGATTGTAATGTATTTCTAGGTAATATCTAAAATAATTATATGGAATGCAGTGTGACGATATCACGTGGAACATCCTTCGTAAGGGCCAGTGTGCCTTTAAAGTATGGTAAGTTTTTTTCTAATTCCGATTCTATTTAACGAGCTGTAGGTGGTTCAGATATGGGAGTTTTCAGTAATGTGATTCAACTAAATACTATATTCAGAGTAAAAAATGAGCATTTCTCATCAAGTGGAATTTTTGTAGTATAAAGTAGTTTTCTCCCATTCCAGGGCTAAACCAACTCTGTTTTGTCGGAATGAAATGAATCTGACTGGTCTATGTAATCGTGCATCTTGTCCCTTAGCAAACTCTCAGTACGCCACAGTTAGGGAAGAAAATGGTGAGTGAAGCATCCAATTATAAACTTTATTTGCCTTCTTTTTATATCCTCATGACTATTACTTTCTCATCAGGTGACGCTTTTCCCTCGGCCCCTTCTAACCTATCATTCTCAGAAACTTTTTGTATGAAGGGGTTATCGGAAAGACGGAAGATGAATATCTTTCGTATGGTAGCGTAGACAAGGATTGCCATAAGTAAAAGTTACCTAAAATTGCTTTGAATGACTTTTTTCACAAACATTATGTTCAATCATGGCAGATAGGTCTTTAGTTGAAATCAGCTCATCAATTACGATTCATTTCCTGTCTTTTGCCAAGCTTCGAGAAGTGGTTGAAAAGTAGTGTGACCCTCCACCGAAAAAGGGGTCTTTACCTGGAGATCGTTCATGCAGTTGCCGATAAAACTGAAAAGTAGGGCACATGCCAATATTGATNGATCCCTAGACTACAAAACAAAATTGTACTGCTCCGCTAAAGAAAAACGACCGTTTTAAAGTTGGAAGCGGTCCCATATGATCCGTCCTAAGGGTGCGTCTACTACCTCTAGTATAGGTAATAGAATTCTCGACGAATGAAAACATTGGCATAGTTCGATAGGAGCTTTTACTGAAAGTACTTAGGTGGGGGAGAAGTTTTGTTGGATTTACTTGATCCAACTTCGGTTATGGTGATTTCGAACTTTTTTTTCAGGTGTCTGTTATTTATACTGCAAAGTGATTGAAAGAAGTCATTATCCAAGAAGATTATGGGAAAAAACGAAACTTTCGAAGGATATGAATAAGGTACGATAGTACTTTGATTTTTATCAGTTTCTCTTACAATTGAGGTGTTGTTGAATATTGTCGATACTGTAGTGTTCTTTCGCTGTTTGGAGCATTTCGTGCTCTTTTTTCCTATGCAAAGTCTTCAGGCACTAGAACAGATTAGTGATGCTCTTCTTCATTGGAGTGAATACGTCCGTCACAAGTGCAAGGCAAGACTTATTCGAATCCATCAGTATCTTATCCGTATGAGGAAAATGGCTCTGAAGGGAACGTATGTACCACATTTTTTTGATTTATTGATATAGCGAATTTTCGAACATACTAAATGGGAAGTCTTCAGGCAGAAGAAAATCATACCAGTTGCACGTAAAGTTGAACGGCGTGAGAAACGTCGTGAAGAAAAGGCTTTAATAGCTGCGAAATTGGATAAGGCTATTGAAAGTGAACTGCTTTCACGGTTACGGTAAGCCGTTCTATTTAAATGACATCGTTATTGTGCATGGTTATTTTCTATTCAGACAAGGAACATATGGTGACATTTATAACTTCCGACAACAAGCTTTTGAACAGATGCTTGATGAGAACGAAGCTGTGATGGAACGAGAAGAGGAAATAGAGATGGAAGATGACGAAGTAAGTTAACTTGATGGTGGTAAAATTTGTAATTTTCTGGTTTGTAAGAGTAATGTGCTGTTTGCTGTCATTTGATGTTTGGTAAGAAACTGTTGCGAAAGTTGGTGCTGAACAGAGGCAAAATTTTCCAGTGAGAGCAAACTTGAAATGCAAGTCTCCATTTTACCGCATTATTTTGTTAAGGGGAAACGTGATTTTTCTGGATCACTCAATCTGACCTCTTGATAAATATGCGCTCACCCAATAAGAACTTCTAGGTTCTGGTCACCATTATATCGTTTCACAGTAGCATAAAATTGCTGACCGTTGAGTTCTACGTGGCATCACTTGCCCTTCGTCGCCTTCGGCCTTATCTTCTTCCGGCAAATTGTAACTCAGACATGTTTTTTCAACTTTTTATTTTTACTTGAATATTTAAGGACGTAGGCCGGATGCAGTACGTGGCTGATTTGGAGTCATCAGATGAAGAAGATGAGGACGATATTGAGGACACACCTGGAGGTCATTGGTCACCTCCCGAAACTGATAGCGAGGAAGACGATTGGCAGCGACCAGAAGAGGTAGAGTTTTTGCATAATATGAATATCTCGTCTGTCTGTCATGGTATTGCATCCAGAGCGAAGAGGACAACGACGATGAAGAAGAGAGTGAAGGAGACACGTCCGGAGAACCACCAAAGAAGAAACCGAAGAAAAAAGCCGGTAAAAAGAAGCAGCTCAAGAAAAAGGTTTGTACAGATATGAGTGCTTGTGAAGGTTAAGTTATCCGATCGGGTTTTGGTTCATTGTTTCCGGAATTGGAGAGATTGGTCGGTAGAAAGCCGAAATGAGTGCAAATAATCTCTGCAGTCAATTGCACACACAAAATTCCTTCCTTTTTTGATCGAAAAGGATTTCATTGATGTTAACGAGTGATGAGATATAGTGTTTCCACATTTTTACCATATTTTTGAATATTCAGATTGATTGCAGGCACCGAAAACAAAGCGACCACATGTGGAAATCGAGTACGAAGACGAGTCGGAACTGCGTACGAAGATCAAAGCATAGAACGGTTGTTTGCGATTGTTTACTACTTGTGGTTTTTATTGTTGAGAATTTCTTCCACGTTGTTGAGCGTTCCGTTGTTATCGCTTTTTCGGAGATCTATGAAGATTTTTCCCTCCTTAACTGGTCGTTGGTTTGTTATATAGGTGTCTTCTTGAAAATGAATAAAGAGTTGATATCATTTATTCATGAGTTAGGTTTTTGGTTGTCACCATACTATTTCTTGTGACCGGGTCCCTATACGCTCTATTGTTGAGATTACCTATACTATCATCGATTCGTGCTAATACGTTACGTTTCTAGTGCTAATATCGTTAATATTGTTTCGAACATCGTCTAACATTGTCTCGAAGGTTCTATTTTCAATAGTTCCTCCCGTGCACGGGGAAATTCTACCCTTCTCTTGGCGTATAGCCTTTGCTTCGTAGCTCTTTTTTGGGGAGCCTCTTGTGGTACGTGAGCTTTAGTGCCTAGCACTTTCTCTGAGCATAACTCTACCATATTCAACTTAATCCATCTACTCTTTTACAGTTATTATGATACTAGGCAGGTAGGGTTCCAGAATACTATCTGAGTCAATTACCATAAACGTGCTTTGAGAACTTTTCAGTTTGCCCTAATTATATCCTATCACTGCTTTACTGTAGGTGGACCTCTTTAGCCCTTGTGGTAGCCTATCGATGAGCTGAGGGATGTCTTTTTGTGAGGTTTCCCATCGCTTTGGAATTAAGATTGTCTCAGTTTGAAAATTCCCACAGTTTCTCTCTCATTTGCAAGCTTCTATTGAGTAATATGGTGACGTCTCCCGTTCTGTCCTGCGCGCTTCTGAGAATTCATGTATTGTTTCACTTGGCGTTCTTGTTAAGAAAAGTAGGGGTTCGAGTCTCGTCCGAGACCGGTGTTTTGCCCACAGATCGCTGTCTTCATGTGTATTTTCAATTACTTTTCTATTTGGATTGAGTAATCTCATGATTTCTCGTGTATCGCAGAACCATGTCGTTGGATCCATCGACAGGTTTCACCTGTGTTGCTTGCCATCTCGTTTTTAAAACAGCCGAGCTTCAACGTGATCACTACAGGACAGATTGGCATCGATACAATTTGAAAAGACAAGTAAGCTAAACAGCTTACGCTTTATGAATACTGTAATGTCATGACACTGTGCTATTTTTTTGGATTTCCTAAAATTCCGTTTATAGCTACCAACGCATTAAGGCCCATATAGGCCCCTAGCAAACTAGTTGACAGTTTCTGATTAGGTTGCAACGAACTAAATCTGTTGGAGAAAGCCAGGGGTGACTGTTGGGGTCCCTTACTGCTTTTCCGAGAGTAGAATTACCAAATCCCACCGAGCTGACAGAATAGAGAGGATACCTATCATTGAAGCATCCTCGTGACTACAGTTGGCCATCACTGCTTGAGGTAAGTTGACGTGGCATTTTCGTAACCCGGTTGCGGCTAACTCGGTTCTTTCCCATATGGGGTCAGCGTAGTTGGGATGTGCTCATTTTGCCCCTTGCATGTCAGTCACTGTAACTTGTTCAGAGAGGCTCTAAGCCAAAGTTGATCCTTGGTATTCCTAAAGTCTTGGAAATATCTGCTCAGCACAGTCCATATTTACTACTATTTTGGGTACACCATAATCCTCCTAGACATTCGGCCTGATTACGTTAGAACTTCAAAAATCAAGATGGCCATGATTTTTAGGTTAGTGAACTACCTCCGGTCACAGCGGAACAGTTTCGTGAAAAGGTCTTAACATACAGGAACGAACAAGAGGTAAGATGATGAAAGACTTATCACGGAATCCGTGCTTATTAATTGAATATTTCTTTTCCAACTGGACGGACTTATCCGTTCAGGTATTGAAAAAGGAGGAAGAAGACACAGCTGCATTGTACTGCGCCACTTGTCGAAAGAAGTTGAAATCACGAAATGCATTGGCAGATCATATGGCTAGCAAAAAGCATAAGGAAATGGAAACGAGGGCACCGAAAGGTCCCAGACAACCTAGGAAGGTCAGTTGCTTCGTGATCACTGTTACTCGTAAATTTAAGACCGCGTTTTTTTTTTCGAAGTCGGTTTCTTTGCGGTTTTGAAAAGAACTATAACCACTACTTCACTCCCACTCTTACGTGAGCGTTTAAGTCATATGAAATTTGAGTGACGTCTACTAAAATTACTTGCATTTTACCATACTAGGCAACGAGGGATCGAACCGACTTGAAGGCAGTAGGTGACAAGTATTTTTGAGAAAGCAATAATCAGGTGTTCATTGAGTTTTTCTTGTAATGGAGTCGAGTGGAGAGCGAATCGATGAGAATCCAGTTGGAATGAATCGCAGAAAATCAAGCGCCGAGAGCTTGCTAAGCAATTCCAGCTCTGCGAACCAATTACACGATCATCAAATTTCGACGGTCGTGGGCTTCACGACCAAACCATGATATCGCATTCCCAGTATCTGCCTCAGGGAACCCCTCGCTTTGGTTTAGATAGCTACCCAAGTGGAAGAACGGTGCATCCCTCATTGGGCTACCCCCAAGGGATTCGTGCTGTAACCACCACACCATGTTTGTACAGAGCCGAGTAACTGACTTCCTACCTCCACAAACGGTGAATTCTTTGCTCGTACATTACTTTCCTATTGATACTCGTGCATCTGTATCTGTTAGTCTACCCTGAAGGTACAATCAAATATAACTTTAAAGTAACATTTTACATCTTTAATCCCTGCTATTTGACAAGAATTGTTCTTATCCAGCTAACAAAGCTTCAGAAAGAATCACAGCAGCCTATTCCTTCGTCTGAAGCCGAAGAACGAGATGAACATATGGAAGATGTGGAGGACGAGGACGAGGATGACAGCAGCTCAGGATGGGTAACAGACCATGGTTCGGAAGAAGAAGATGAAGAGCTCGACTTCGACGAAAGCCAGGTTCTTTTCGAAGAAACAGCTCATCATCCAGTTACAAAACTGTACTTGATATTTTGTACCTGCCCCAAGTTCTTATATTACAGGCAATTCCTATCACTTCCTGCTTGTTCTGTCCTCAGTCGACGCCTTCAAAAGACGAAGCAGCAGAGCACATGAGATTTCATCACGGATTTGTTCTACCTGATAGGAAGTATTTGGTTGATGAAGAGGGTATGCTTAAATATTTAGGTGAGTTTTGGAGGGGGTTTCTTTTCTGATGTGGATAAATCTGCTCTGTCTACTTGGGCAGCTTTCCCGCATCTTCAACTTTGCTAATAATTATTCTGCTCAATTCCAGGACTAAAAGTAGGAGCTGGGCGTTGTTGCATCTTCTGTCCAGATATTCGGAGTCGCTTTGCGACCACGACTGCATGTCAAGCACATATGCGTGATAAGCAGCACTGTAAAGTTAATCGTGAACCTGAAGGCATGTTGGAGTTTGCTGAATACTACGATTACAGGTAAGCTTCTTCTTCTGTAATTCATTGATAGTTATTCAGACAGCTTCGATTCATTACTGGTGTGATTATGTTCTCAGAAATGCATTTCCACCCTTTCTTTTTTTCTCATTTTCCTTTTCCTTCTGTTTTTTCATTCGACTGGTTCAAACTTTCTAGAAAATCGTCAACTAGGTTTTTTTGAATGAAGGTATCCTATTGCAGTCCGATGTACGAGAATGACAAGGACGGTGCTTCATCGGATTCATTTTACGATGATGGGTGGACTTTAACGCTTCCATCTGGTAAGTTCCAGCACTTTTTGATTGCACATATCAGATTTCAACCATTTTGATACGGGCAATAACTGACATTTG